ATGGTATGTGAGATGAACTACAATACTTTGAAGGGCTTTCCACTATGTTAATTGTTAATTTTTGTATTGTATCTGTATTAGGCTCAATTTGGATAGAGTATAAATACAAATATATATTGCAAATAGATACAAAATACCAGGTTTTATACTCTACATATTTGTATTTATGCTCCTTCCAAACTGAGCCAATGCATGAATAGCATCAGCACTTGGTCGGCATAAGAAAGTAAGGCATAACTGGCCATAATGCTATTATCATTGGCTGTTATTGATTTAGATATTGTTACCGCTTACCACATTCCGGTCCTCAAGGAGTTTGGATTTCGTGTTTGTGTTGTGGCCATCCTTTACCTAATAAAAAAGAAGACTGTATTGGGTGTGGTGTGTGCGATACAATAATTACTATATGCATAAGGCAAATGGATGGGTTGAATGAGGGTTGAAGGCTAACAACCCAACCTAATCCACCCATTTTAATATTTTAACTTATACAAATGCATCCTTATTAGTAAAGGAAAATAAAGATAAAAAGTGCGTAAATCATCAATTTATTTCAACTAATTGTTTATAAAAAGAAAAAGAGAATTTCATACATATCCAATGTATCATATATATATATATTGACTTTGAACCCAACACCATTTAAAGGAATTTAGAGGGGTTTCTATATATAATCATTAGAACTCCCATTTAGGGGTGGATTTGATCCAAGTCGAATATTTGGCTATTCGAGCTTAGTTTGCATAGATAGTATTAGGGCTCGAGCTTGAGCTCAATTCGAGCTAGAGACTTGAGCTCAACTATAAGCCAAGTTTTTTTTGTAAATTAAAAATTATATGTATAACATTATTTTTTTTAGACAAAAAAGTTAAGAATTATAAAAATTATTTACTATTATAATATATATATATATATGTATGTGTGTATGTATGTATGTATGTATATATGTATCTATATATAATAAAAATGATTTATTTAATACTAGGCTCATAAGCCTCATGAGCCAAGCTTCATTGGGATCGATCTTGGCTCGATTAGCAAACAAGCCTATATATATTGGGCTCAAATTCGGTTCAAAGTTCGGTTTAAACTGAGCCGAGCTCGAATAGCACATGAAAGGCTCGGCTTATGGCCACCCCTACTCCTATCTTACCTAACCTTGGAACCTCGTCTTAAAAAAGTTAATAAGAAAATCAAGTATTGTACATTAGAAAACCTCAGTAGGCCAGGTCAGCTTGGACACCTCGGCTAAGGCTGAGGTTCGAGTAGCTTGTGGTGTCCCGACCTATCGAGGTGCTACATAGCCCTCACCTAGATGCTAGACAGGTCTCCAATCTCTTCGGGATCACACCGCACATCAACGAGCCTTATCCTTATCCCGCCCCAATTAGAGGGACTCGCTAAGCCTTATCATCTCACATGAAGTCTATATCTCAGGTGCAAAACGGACTCCTGGTTACATGGGCTAGAGATCTCGGATATGTTTCGTGAGGCCTATGACAGCTCGCCTATATAAGGGCAATACCTCCAGCCTCAGAAGGTACGTGCGATTTAACTCTCATACTCTCATATTTACAAGCAAACCAGCTCGCTACAACACTCTTTGCTAACTTAAGTATTGGAGTGCCCACACCAAGTAAAGCACCCCAGGACCTCTAATATTGTTCTTCTTGCAGTTCAACCGGCCATGTGTTAGTCTGACGTCCAAACTACCTTCCAGCTAGGAGAGTACAGATCGCACATCATCAAGGACCAAACCAATATAACATGATATGTCCAATACGCTTCAATACATGATGAAATTTTGAACCTTGGTTCGATATCCCTCCTGCACCCCACCCCCTTTGGGTATGTGTTGTTGAGTTGGGGCAAACCGATACCAAGCCCATTGGCATCAAACTTTACATTACAAGTAGTGAAGCAAGGTTCAAAATATAGATACATACCATTACGCCAAATGGGGCATATTGGATGTTTCAACCCCATGCTCTTGCTTTTTTTTTCAGTTTGTTTTCACACCTATTTAGTCGATCTAAGGCTTCTTTTATCCCTTGAAATAGGTCAAAATACCAGAACATTTATATTTGATGTATCCTTTAAAACATGTTAAAATTCGAGTTAATACGTGATAAACTTTTGAGCCTTGATTAATTGATGAAAATCAAAAACCTCAACATACACTCAAAAACAGCTTAGAGAGAGACCAGGTAACTGCAAGTAAGAAGGAATTCAGAGGAATGTAAATTGTAAAACACATCTATCTATCTATATCAATAATATAAAGAGGAATGTGTAGAGGGCCAAGGCCTCTCACCACAACTCTCACACATAGGCATCTCCATTCTCAACATTTGCATGTGTGCAATCCTCTCACCACAGCTCTCACACATAGGCATCTCCATTCACACATAGGCCTCTCACCACAGCTCTCTCCACTGCATCTCCTTTTACCCCTCTTTTCCCATTTGGTACACTCTACTTAGTTAGGCTTTGCTTAGTATTAGTAACGGTTTAATGGTAGTTTTTAAAAATCTCTTAATAAGTCGGTTTTTCAATTTTAGTTAGTCTCTCTTTCTTGTTAGTAATGGGTGCATATTAGGAGTCCAAATCTCCTGCCCACGAGAATTCTTTCCACGTTTATCGGAATAACACATGGAGAACATCTCATCCTCTGCATAGTATTATGCAGGGGGAGATGTTCCCAATTCACGGGGTAGTGTATTGTAGTTAGGCGTGAACAGAGTTCTCGTAAACAGGTGATCCGGTCTTGCATGTTAGCTTTTAAAGTCCCTAAGAGGTTGGTATACCAATTTTCCTTCGCTCAACTCAGGTGTATTCATTCAAAATATGACAGTTCTTTTTCTAACCCACCTCTCTCTTCTCGTTGTTTTTAGCTTTTTTATCTGTATTTATTGTTTTAAGTTCAAAAATATTGTCTTATGGGAGAAATGTTTCATTTCTCTATATCTTTGGTTTTGCAGGTTTGGATTAAACCCAATTGTTTGGTTTTCATTTTTCTGCCTGTTCTCTCCCTTTCTCTCTCTCCACGTTTGGATTAAACCCACCTCTCTCTCTATATATATATCATCTCAAGGAAAGCTTTGTGTCCTTGTCAGTCTCGCATTTTCGGAGAACTCAAAACCAGGTAGCCCACTCTTTAATTCAACATGTTTTAACATCGGTTGTATTTGTATCACAGGTAGGGGTGTAAAGGGATCGAATTCAAATCAGATCAATACTAGAAAATTCAATATCTGAATTTGATTTGATATCCGACAAATATTAAAAATTAATATTCAAATTCAAATCCGATTAAATATTTGAATATTAGATTTGATTCAAATTCGACTAATTAATTATTTTAGGTAATTAATAAATATATAAAATAAATATTTTATTTATATAAAGTATATAAATATATAAATTATTTATATAATTTAATTATTATATATATATATAAATTGTATAAGACATTTAAATATTTTATATATTATATATAAGAATTAAATAATTGATTGAATTCAGATATTTATCGAATCGAATCAGGTCATATCGAAATACGAATCCAATTGACTATTCGGTATGAATAGGATATCCAAATTTGACCAATTAAATATTCGAATTATCCGAATTCAATCCAATTATGTTGAATCTCGAATTTAAAATCAGATTTTCGAATATCATTAACACCCTTAATCACATGGGAATCCCATTCCAAGTTGGTTGGTCAATCGAAATTCTGAGAAATGATTACCAAATGATGTATCCTCCTTAATTATCAATAAATTTCTTTTTTTACCAAAAAACGCTCTACACCAATTGAAATTTCTATATGCCTATTTTTGAACCTTTAACTTTATGTGTTTTATTTAATTAAAAGGTATAATTTTGTTCTTTTCTTATTTGTTATGGATAATTCTGAAAATTTTATCCATTCCTTTAAATTCTTCCCATCCCAAACTATCTGGCATCTTCAACTAACTCCCTTCATCAGCCCACCTTCAAAGCAGCCCCCGCTACTTGTTAAATAATAATAAATAACGAAAAAAGAATATTATTCACATAATATAATAAAAAAATTTCTGTATATTGCACACTAAATCAATTTAATTAACTTATAACTATAATGCCCTTATTAAGGCTTTAATTGGACTAAAAATGACTCTACCCTATTGTTAAATAAATTCCGTACATCGCACGGGTTCCTATAGTCATATAGATGAATTCTTCCACCACGCTGCTTAGCTAGTCCTAGTCCTGTTTTTTTTTTTTTTTTTTTAATCTATCTATAAAAAATAAAAGAAATAAAGGCGGGACCATTTGAACTCTCTCACTCACAATCAATTCAATTTCCTTATATTTATCAAACAATCCACAAACTGAATCTGATCACTCTCATGTGGAACATGGCCATCTCTACCACAAGTCTGTGCATCAACTATCAACCATGCCACATGGTGGGTCCCGTCCCCTGCTGCTGAAATTTGCATAGGAGCCCTAATACAACGGTAATAGCACTGGAGCACCATGTATTGCCAACTGTTAATACACTGACACGTGTAGGTATCATCTTTTACCACGTGGCTTATCATTCTCTTCACGTCAGAAAGCTCTACACTGTAAATGGCTTTCGGTCGTTTTGTGGGCGAGTGTCAGTCGAGGGATCGGAATCTAGGGCGAAATCTCGGAAGACGCCTCCGTTGCTCCCTCCGTCCTCGTGGCCGATATTTTTCATTTTTCTCGCCAAATTGTTGATTCCGAAACGTTACGTTACATTACGCTGAGTTGAGTTGCGTTGCGTGCTTACGTGGTGCTGCGTCTCCCGCATGTTTCGACCTCGATCGAGTTCGGCAGTTCGCAGTCGTCACTCACTCAGTCGCTGACACAAATGTGAAATGTTACAGTGAGATGGCAATCTTGTAAATATAAGCCATAAAACTGGCATTTCTGTAAAACAGGATCCTATAAAGCGAAGCACAGAAAACTTGCTCACACGCCTCGTCAACTTTCCCATTTTCAGCAGTTGCACTGCAGCAAAATAAAAACCGCTTCAACACCTTCTCTCTTTTCGTCCTTTTTTTTTTTTTTTAATATTTTTTACCCTTTTTTCACTCCAGAATTCCAATCTCTTCTTTTCTTCTTCTCTACATCATCGAAACCCTAATCCGCCATTCTTCCGATTGCGATTCACTCCGAATCTCACCAGAGAGATCTCTCCTTCGCCATTCTCCTTTGTTCACTGAACGACCTCTTAGTCATTGGTTCTCTTCCTTTTTGCCTTCTTGGTTCATAGTATATTGAATTCTCCCTGGTGTGATCTGCCACTGGTCTTTGCGACCTCTGAAGCACTTTAGGGTTTCTTCTTTTGAGGAAATGAGGGATGTTTTCGTGGTTGGCAAGATTAGCGTCGGCATGCTGGCGCCCGGTCCGGCGGTACGCCCGTATGAGCAAGGATGATGAGGACGGGACCGACGATGCGCTTCTTTGGTGCAGAGACCTCGACCGGCATTCTTTAGGCGAGTTCTCGATCGCTGTTGTCCAAGCTAACGAGATCATTGAGGATCACAGCCAGGTTGAGACGGGTCCGCATGCCACATTTGTCGGCGTTTATGATGGTCACGGTGGTCCTGAAGCTTCCCGTTTTGTTCGCGAACACCTATTCCGTCATCTAATGAGTAAGTTACTTTCTTCTTCCTTTTTTGGCGGTAATTACCTCAATCAAGATTTGCTTCGATTTTACTTTTATCCGATAATAATGGCTGATGCATAAAGCTGTATGTATTGCTAATTGGGCTTTTGGTTGTGTTTAATTAGTTCATATTTGATCGATCGATTAGTCTCCTGTATTCATGAATCTGAATCATGGTCAGACACTTGAAGCCAACTTCCTGTGACACGAAATGGTCATTCATCATTGCCATTACATACTAAAAAATGAGACGCAGTTAGACTGATTATAGTGATGCTCCATTTGACTTGTACTTAATGGAGAATTTCTAGAATCTTGAGGAAGTTGTACAGGATCTAAGATGTGATCACATCTTTTTTTTCCCTTTTTTGATTGATAATAGAGAAATTTTATTAATTATAACAAAAGACTAAGATGCGTTTCAACTTCTTTTTACCATTTTATTGAACAGATGGTAGGATCATAACGGTTGGGAGTTTTTTATAATATAATATGGTAAAGGATTACATTTGTACTTTTCCAATTATGTTGTGGATTTAAGGGGATTGCAGGAATTGTCCATTGGATATTGCACATGAGACAAATTTTCAAATGGCTTTTATACAAGACAAAGAGAGCTGGTTCTTGGTAGCATGTTCATCTTCTTGGTACCAGAGTGTCTTCTCTCTTATAAAGATGCAAAAATGTTCTTTACTACGTTGGCTCTCATTTGGCAAAGTCCACCTATGTGATAGAAGTGAAGGATATAAGAGTATTAAATAGTAGCGATTTTGGACCTGACTTTGTTTTTTCCTCCTGTCTTCAGGCTAGGAATTTGTGTGTGCTTTTTTATTTTCTTCAATAAAGTATGAAGGGTTTCTTTTCGTCAGTTATGATACATTTTTTTTCCCATGCTCTCTTTCACTCTTCTGGGTCACTTCTTAGAAGTTTCGTTTTTGTGTATTAATTCATTTCCCCCCTCCTGTTGGGATTGCATATGAGTGTCATGTTTCACATTTCCCCTCCAGCTGTTGGGAACTTGGGATTCACTGAACCTGATTGGTGTAGTTTGTGTCATAGATCTGATCCCAATATCGTTAAACAATGTCATTTGTTTTGAGCTTTGGGATTTGATAGTCTCATAAGGAGAAATATTACAGCTAAACCATCCAAGATTCAAAGTATTGATATTTGATACAATACATCCGATACGGGTGCCTCATATCGTGTCTAAGGGCCACCGATATGCTCAATCTTAAGTGTTAATTGATTTTGTTGGCTTTATGTATTATTACATGATAAGACATTATGTACTGACAAATAAATAAAAAGAGGGTCGAATTTCAACTGAATGAAACTCTTGATACACATTTTGTGTATTGGGAGTATTGATACTTTGAACCATGAAACCACCTAATCTCCATTGCAAAATGACCTGTTAATTCCTATTTTTCTCTATACGTAACTATGGAATTATTCTTACTTGAAATCCTACAAGGAAGGTGGCTTCTTGTGATTTCTTTGTTCTTTGTAATTTCAACCTTTTTTGTGCTTTATTGGTGATTACTAATAGCATCAGTAGCTCAATGGGTAAAACCAGCAGCAAGCCAGCAAGAGCAGGAACTGTTGAATAATGACTATGATGGAGATGATGCTCTATATACTAATGATGTAAAGTGAAAGGAAAAACAACAAATGTAATACGAGTATGTAGCCGTTCTACATTTAATGCTACTTAATGCATATAGACCAATGCTTTAAAATGTGGACGTGTGATGCAAGGTGTTCTACCATCCCAAGGAGTGAGGCTTAAACCAGAATGCAATAGAGGTGTAAGCCTCTCAAACATGGATTTTTTTAATTAATAAATAATTAAAATAAGATGAAATAAATAAAAATATAGTAAATATCCTATAAAAATTGGAAATTTTATGAGAAATTAGAAAACTTCCTATTTGCAATTTCTAATAATATAACCATCATATTCCAATATAGAATTGAAGTAGCACCGTATTAACTATCATCATCCATAATTATAGGAGTACCAGCCGCCATCAATATATCACTTGCAGAGTTGCAAATCAAAATTTCAGAATTAACAATTCCCATAAATTGCACAACATTAACATAAACAAATGTGTTATCTCATATTAAAAGAAGTCAAAGCTATGGTGCCCCTACTTCTCTTTACAACATTTTATTAATGATGTTACAATAAACAAATTTGGAGGCTTTCATCCTTGGTATAATATATAATGGGGAATATGATAAAATGGTTCCCTATTTTTATTTATAACATCTTTATTTAAAAAAAAAAAAAACTAGCTTACACTATAAGAGCATTTAGGTGTGTGCTCATACGCCTCAAGCATTTTTGTGCTCCCATTGTGTGCCTCCAAGTGTTTTCCTAATGCCTTGCTTGGAGGTGTTTTAAAACATTTATCTAGACATTCCTCAGACATCACTATTACTTTGGGTTTCTTTTGTAACTTCCCCCCGATTGACAATGTTGCATGATTTCCATTTATGATAAGCTGCTTGCCATTGAATTCTCACTTGTGCATTATATTTTCAATTTGTGTTTGCCGGTACTAAAGGTTCTATACTACACATCCTTTTCCTATTTTTTCAGGGCTTGCTCGAGAAAATGGAACTATATCTGAAGATGTTCTAAGAAATGCATTTTCTGCTACAGAGGAAGGATTTCTTACTCTTGTGCGAAGAACATGGGAAATTAAACCATTAATTGCTGCAATTGGATCTTGTTGTTTGGTTGGAGTTATCTGGAGAGGAACATTATATGTTGCTAACTTGGGTGATTCTAGAGCTGTAGTAGGTTGTTTAGGTAGGTCAAGTAACATCATTGCAGAGCAATTGACTACGGATCATAATGCATGCATGGAAGAGGTCAGACAGGAACTTAAATCCTTGCATCCAGATGATTCACATATTGTAGTTATGAAGCATGGAGTATGGCGTATCAAAGGCATTATCCAGGTTTGCACCCTTTGAGCTACAACTCTTGTCTTTCCATGTATCCAATCTCCAACTTTGTATATTCAAATGTGGTATTATCATTAACAGTTCATTATGGTGTTGTTTTAATTGTTTATTGTTGTCTGTATTAATTTATGCTTCTAGGTTTAATGCTATCCATTTTCCAACAAATATGTTCCACTCCTTATGTAAAATAGTGAATATATATTTTTTATCAGCATGTAAAATAGATAATAGTTTATTGAAAAATAGAACTTGCAAATGATATGATTCTGTTTTGCGAAGGTGGGGATGTCAATTGGATTAAAAATTTGAAATTCTCTATATAGCTCTTTGAAAGGTGAATTTTGAAAAAAAGTTGTATGGTTGGAGTCAATATGGGGGAAGGGGAGATGGGGGAGTTTGCAGATATTTTGAGATGTGCAGTGTCTAATTGGCCGTTAAACTACCTGGGTTTACCTTTGGGAGACAAATCTTCAGAGAGATGATTTCTGGGCCCCTGTTGTGGAGAGATTTGAAAAGAGGCTGGCCAACTGGAAAAGAAATTATTTGTCCCTCGGAGGGAGAATTACCCTAATTAGGTCTACGTTGGCTAACCTTCCTGTATATTTTCTGTCCGTTTTTAGGATACCGGTGAAGGTGGCTAATAGGTTGGAAAAGCTAACGAGAGATTTCCTGTGGGAGTCGGGGGAAGAGAAGAGGGACCATAGGGTCAAATGGGAGGTGGTTCGTAGAGCTAAAGATGAGGGAGGGTTGGGTATTGGTAATATTAGGACTAGGAACCTGGCACTACTAGGAAAATGGTTATGGAGATTCTCATTGGAGAAAAATAGGTTGTGGGTTAAGGTGGTGGGAAGTATACATGGACTGGCAGATAATGGTTGGGATTCAGGAATCCTAGCAAGGGCCACAAGAGCTTCTCCTTGGAGAGCCATTCATGCCATCTTGCCTTTATTCTCTCCATGGATCAGGTATGACTTGCATTCCGGTACCCTTATCAAATTCTGGGAACAAGTCTAGGTTGGGGACTTGCCTCTGAAAGATCAATTTCCAGGCCTTTTTGCTTTGTCCTCCCTCAAGAATGAACCAATTTCTTCTTTTATTGCTCCTTCTAATCCACCCTCTAGGTTTGGTTGGAACCTAAGCTTGAGAAAAGGTGTTAGGGACACAGAGATTGCCTGTACCAAAGCCTTACTTTCTATCCTTGAAGGGGTCTTTATTGATCCATCTAAAGCAGATTGCAGAATCTGGACACTCACTCCCTCGAGCTCTTATACTTGTGCCTCCTTTTTCAAAGCACTAGTACCCTCTCATCTCGTTGGCTTTTCTTTTCCTGTTAAAGAAGTGTGGTGTCAACCTATACCTCCTAAGGTTGGGAGTTTTTGTTGGGAAGCCTTCTTGGGAAGAATTAATACAGGGGATCTACTCCAAAGGAAAAGACCCAACAGCTGTTTGTCTCATTGGTGTGTTCTCTGTAAGTCTGACAGTGAGTCCGGATATCACTTGCTAATTTCTTGTCAGTTTGTTAAAGTTATTTGGGTATGGTTTACTTTTTCGTTTGGATGCAGGTGGACCCCCCCCCCCTCCTTTGAATGTTCAAAGCTTGTTTTCTTCCATGCCTAATTGGCCAACTAAAAGGGCTAAAATCAGGTGGAGGTGTGGTAGAGCTGCAGTATGTTGGACAGTGTGGGAGGAGAGGAACTCAAGGATCTTCTCAAGTAAAGAGAGAGGTATGGAAGAAATTATAGAGAGCATTCACATTAGAATAACACAATGGTGAGAACACTGGAGCTGTTCAAAGTGTTTTCAGTTGATGAGTTGTTAAGGAATTGGAAGGAGATTGCAGATTCAGGCCTATGTAGAAAGTTATTAAAAGCTTGCTGGAGTAGTCCTCCACCTATTGGATTCACCAAACTGAATTTTGATGGTAGCAGCATAGGCAACCCAGGGCCTTCTGGAATTGGAGGTGTGATAAGGGATGGAACAGGGAACGTGTTAGCCATGTACTCTAGGCCGATTGGGGTGGGAGATTCTTGGAGCTATTGAAGGAATTCAAAGGGTCAAGGAAATGAAGATTAAAAAGGTGGTTATAGAAGGTGATTCTGCAACGGTGGTGAAATGGCTAACAGAGGACAGTGCTATGATGTGGAAATACAGCAATGAAAAGAGGAAATATAAATGGTTAACATGGAAATTCAATGTAATTGGATAAAGAGAAGTGCAAATGCATTGGCTGATGGTCTAGCTAGGCAAGGGGTAAATAGAGAAACATTATTCTGGGCTGTTTTGTAATCACTACAAGATCAGAAAGTTGTTGGGTAACTGGAGTTAAGACCTTTTAGCTCCATCCCGTTGTAATATTGTTTTTATCATTAATAAAATTTCACTGTTACTGATAAAAGAAAAAGATAAAATAACAGATAAAAAGTAAAAATCAAAATTTTCCTGCCAAGTTCAATAATCCTATTTCTCTGAGCTTCATAAGTCCGATGTCTTGTACCTATACCAGTTTCAAGTTATGGACAAATTGTCTTCCCTTTTGCTGCATTACCGTTTCTGATTATTCTTATTCTTATGCAGTGTGCCATGTGTGATGGCACTACCAGACTCACGAGTAACTAAAAACAGATTTTTTTTTCTGGATTTGGAAGGTATTTGGCTTCAGGATTTCTTGATCAATTTCATACCTAAAATCTACTGGCAGTCTGTTGGATAAAACCTGTCTTCCCCAAGGTTTGAAGGTGCAGTATATGATAGACTGAGTTAAGGAGCTGTGCTTGGTAGGATTGGTTGTATGGACTTAATTTCTACCTTCAATTAACGCTGTTTGTATAGTTTTTCTCCTGGACTTTAATGGCTATGTATGCTGTAATCTCTTGGAAGAGATGATAGAGAAAGAGAAGAAAGAAGTTGAGAATAAGAGCAGTAATTGAGTTGGTTTACAGTTAGGGTAGGACACTGGATCTAAATAATGGACCTTTTCCACTGATGGGATTTTTAGGAAATGGAGGGAAGTGACGGGATCTTCAAGAGAGAAACAATACCAAAATATTGGTGGTCTGGAGAAGGTTGTGTAAGATTAAATTTTGATGGGAGTAGTAGCATGGGCAATCTAGGGCTTTCAGGAGTGGGGGAAGTATTTAGGGATGAAGGAGGTGTTATGAGAGCATTGTTTTCAGAGCCAACCAGAAAAGGGGATTTTCTAAGAGCAGAATCCATGGCTGCATTGTTTGGAGTCCAAAAGGCAAAAGTGTTAAATATCAATAAGTTGATTTTGGAGGGCAATTAAAAAATGGTGGTGAGATGCTTACAGAATAGAAAGGAAACATAATAGACCTACCGAAATGAAAAGGCTCATTTACAAAAAAAAAAAAAAAGGTTCCAGTGTATAACCTGGGATATGCAAGTGCAGGTTCAATGGGTTCAGATATCATCCAACAACATGGTACATCAGAAAATCAAGGGAGACTTAGGAATCAATTATTCTGGGCGGTTTTGTAATTTGATTATAAAGTGGGGAGAGAGTTCTCTATGCTCTCCACTGGTTGTATAATTTATTGTACATTTTCACCAAATAAACAACTTCTATATGTATTATTTATTCTTTTTAAGATTATCATGTTTAACGAATCTAAAGAATTATATGTATTTTGAGAAGTTTTCATTTTTGGGTGGAAATTTTGAAAAGTTGATATCACACAAAATTGTTTTTTCGTGGTTAAGCAACTCTGATTTTTTTTTTCTATTATTTTGATAAGCAAAGCAACTCTGATGGTTAAACAACCTACTACCTCCATACTGTGCAAATGTGTTGACCTGTTTCTGGGTTAATTGATGTGTGCATTGTTCAACTACGTGGTTTTACAAGAATTTTAAAAAGATGGATTTTAGAATTGCCTGGCTCTGTTGATGGGTCTGAAGTTAAATTTCTATATGCATTTTTTATCCTGAAAGCATATATGTTACCTTAGCAATGATTCTCATGCACTTTATTTTTATATGCATACTCTCTTATGCAATCATATTAAATCTTTGTGCTTTTTTCCAATGATTACCTTTTCTTTTGTGATTGTAGGTGTATAATTTCCCAACTCAACCACTGTTAGAATTTATTTGTTAATAACACCATAAAACCTGTTCTTCTGTTTCATTTTTTTTCTTATCCCTGATCGTTTGCTCTCCACATACAGGTATCTAGATCTATTGGGGATGCATACTTGAAGAAGCCAGAGTTTACTATAGATCCATCTATCTCGCGTTTTCGGCTTTCAGAACCCCTTCATCGCCCTGTTCTTACTGCTGAACCATCTATATATTCAAGAGCCATAAGACCCCAAGATAAATTTGTGATATTTGCATCTGATGGGCTGTGGGAACACATGACAAATCAGGAAGCTGCTGAAATCGTACATAATTACCCGAGAGCAGTATGTAGCTTTCGTCCATGCTTCTATTCTATTTTGTCCTTTATTATCCAGGGATACTCATTCATCCATTCTTCCAAAAATGGCAGGGAATAGCCAAGAGGCTTGTCAAGACAGCTTTAAGTGAAGCTGCTAGGAAGAGAGAAATGAGATACAATGACCTTAAGAAGGTTGAGAAAGGGATCAGGCGATTCTTCCATGATGATATTACAGTTGTTGTCTTATTCTTAGACCATGAGTTGCTAGGAAAGAGGGCAGCCATACCAGACCTGTCTGTACGAGGCTTCATTGATGCAGTTGGACCATCCGATTTCTCTGCTTTGGAAGAGATGACATGAATACGACCTCGGTTATCTGACGTAACATTGGTGGGTCGCTTGACTGGTCCAATATGCCTTCACACATCAGGTTTAGCTAGTCTCCTTTCAGTTTGCACACAAACCTTTTGCAAAACATTTGGTGGTTATTCTTGTGATCTTTATTGGATTCCTTTGTTGTAAGTTGTACCCACTCCTGTGACTATCCTTGTACTCATCCATGGTGCTGTACTGCAATTCTTCCAAGAATAGGTTCAGTTTTTTTTTTCTTTTTTTTTTTTCGTGGGCCATCTTTTGTTTACTTGTTGGTATGTAAATTGAACTGCGAATTTCATATTTCTATCCTTCATTTCAATAATCCATTTCTTGCTAAGCATCTTTTGGTTGGATGGCTGGCAAAGCGCCAAAGCCTACTAGTTGTTGGCTTACAAAACAAAATCATAGTTGTTAGCTATCATATTTGACTAATTTCTATTATACTCCAGTGGTTAATATCTGATCCATGGTTATTACTAGACCTGTTCATGGGTTGGGCCAGGCCGGGCTTTTACTCCATGAATAGAAATTTGTTAGGCCCGAGCCCGAGCCCGGCCCAACCAACGGGCCTACATCTTGGGCCTGAGCCTGACCTAATAAAAATAATTGGAATTTTTCCCTATTCACCCCCGGTGACTGTTTGCTGGAGCTGAGTTTGCGGTGACTGAGAGAGAGAGAGAGAAGGAGAGGACTCATCATCGGAGTTGTTGCGCTGGTGAACGTTCACTGCCTTGCCGGTTGTGGCTGCCTGAGAGTGTGAGGACTGAGGACTGAGGAGGATGTGAAGATTGAAGAGAAGAGAGGTTCGGCTGGAAAGAGGTGAAAGAGGTGAAAGAAAGAGGGGTTTGACTAAGGTTTTTTAACTTTAATCTATAGGTTGGGCCAGGTTATTTTGGCAAATCTCGAGCTCGGCTCAAATTTATTGCGTGTTCAAGCCCGTTTGGGGACCGGGCCGGCCCATGAACAGGTCTAGTTATTACATATAGTAAGACAGACCAAAAGAGTGAATTCTATAAAGTTAAAATTCTCAGAATTGCAGATCATGCGTGAATTGAATCCTCTCATTCTCTCGTGGAAATGGCCCAATGCGGCCGGGTGTGGTTTTGGTGGACAAAGTTCCAGTTTCTGGGTTACAAATTCAATTCATAAATAGCAAGTGTGAACAGAATAGAATTGTAGGTTCTAGCGTGCTAAATTTTTAATGCCTAGAACGTTGTGCGTGGCATTAGCTTGGTTTTCATTAATTTCGTGCTCTACCAGCATGTGTGGGAATATCTAGTAGTACGCCCTTCAAGTGATCACCACAAGTTGGAGACGTTCTGGACCAGTTGAACCCCTGGCCCTGGAGCTGGAGCTGATATTCCTTTGCCTTCACTTGGAGCAAATAATTGCAGAGCGAGGCGAGGAGGCAAGAAGCACAAGATGTCTCAACTCAACCACTGAGAAGAGATGCTAGCATCTGCAATTATTTACTAGCACGACATGAGTGCATGTGTGAACGGCAAGACTAAAGGGAACCACTGTGGGATGTGCAGGAAACACGTCTGCTCTAGAATCCCGTGAAGGGGGTGTTCAGTTCAGGGTTGGTTACATTTTGTGCTCTGCTCCATCTGGCTTACAAACACAGCCAGTGTTCTGAAAGGAGATTCACATGTCTTGCGACAAACCGGTGAACAACACCCCACCCCCCTAAAAAAAAAGTAATTTTTGAACAGTCCAGTGTTTTAATCAAATTTACGCCAGTCTGATGTAATATTTTGTCTTTTTTAACCAACACTTGCATGTTAAAAAATCACAGGGGTCTCGGGTTTGTCTTACGATGGTCGCAGGAAACATAATCTCGTTTTGAAGGACATTCTCATTTTGTTGGTTCTAGAGAATCAGTAAAATTCCTATTTTTTTAACACTATGGAAAATAGCTTTTTAAATATAATCACATGGATATAAAATGGCTGATGAGTCTAAGAAATTCTATGCACCTCGTGCCATATTCCTATATTGTATAAAATAGTGTTTTCAAACTGTTATTGACCCAAACAGTCGGACCATGTAGCCCAGGAACCATCCAGGCAATTGGTTCCATTTCACCCTTAACTCAGTCTTTGGCCCAAAACCATTTACTTTGTCAGTGACCCATTGACCAGGATCAATTCAACTCGGATAATAGTTTTGAGTTTTTTTAATTTTAATTATTTTCTATTCTTAAGTTAAAATGAGCTGTCCATTCCAATCAGACAATCAAATCACTGACCTGAAAACCAATGGCCAAATTGATTTTGGTTCCGGATCAATTTTTAAAACCTTGGTATAAAATGAGCTGTTAGCCCTAACCGGTCATGGTGGTGTAAAGGGAATTACGAATCGAATTTGAACAAAACATTTCTAGACCCAAATCCAATATATTAATATTCGTGTCCATTAAATTAAGGTCAGACTTGGATCAGATTCTGATATTGATTGCCATATTATTCCATTAATAAATTAAACTAAAAAATGATCAGAAATGCAGAATACTTTATACTATTAATAAAGAAACTTTGATATTATGGTTCAGTTTGGAAAGAGTACAACTACAAATATGCATCGTGTAAATACTTACAAAATAAAAGGTTTTGCACTCTACGTATACTTATATTTGTACTCCTTCCAAACTGAGAAAATGACTTAAAATTACCTTCTAAACCAGGTCTCCACCTCCTTATTTCATTCTTGTGTTGTACAAGACCTGACTACATTAGTTTCTTTCTTGCTATATTCTATGTGTTAATAGTTAGAGTTGCAATACACCATGGAAGGTTGATTATGCCTTACAAACTAATATTAAAAGGGCGTAAATAAATTTTAATTCAAAACAAAATATATCAATGTATGTACAGTAGTGGGAATTCCACTGTAGTTATAAAATTGTATGTTTTTCCTAATCACAAAAAAAAAATTAATTTAAGTTTTGTTTGGATTAGATTTTGCTTTTGAGGGTTTGAGTTTGTATGAAACAAAAATGAGCCAAAAACTGTTGTGAGTGTTTGGTAAGAATTGTCTTTAAAAATATAATAATTTAAAGCTAAAATAATCTTAAGCCCAAAATACAAAGCTAAAAATTGGGCCCTTTTGCTTTTGGGCTTTAAAAGCATACAACTTGAAGCTTATCCAAACTGAACTTTGGTATCTTGAATGAAATAAAATCAAACGTAAAGGCTCTCAATATGACACATTTTGTGGATCCTATTCTTCCAGATGAAACACCTTGGGTTCAGTGGGCCGGGTTAAATAGTAGATCCACGCTGACCTGACCCTATCATGTTAGGGTCGGGTTGAGCTTACCTGAGTTTTGGGTCCGGTTTGGGTTTGGATTTAGAACTAATGTGATGTATGTGGGATGGGTTCAATATTCTTTCTCTTCTTGGTCGGGTCGGATTCAGGTTGGAATTGCATCGACCCATTGGCATCCCTAGAAACATCAGTTATAAATCAGACCTAATATAGTCACCCCAGCCTGAGGCTCAGTTTGGAAAATTGTACAGATACAAATATGTTTTGTGCAAATACATACAAAATAATATAAATATGTCTAATGCAAAATAATACAAAATACAAGGTTTTTTGTACTCTACATATTTGTATTTGTACTCCTTCCCCTGAAACAAGGTTCAAAATTTCGTTACGTATCGACCGATAATCATTCCAGCAAATTTTCGGCACAGTACATGGTACCAAATTGAATGTGGCGTATCTATTTGTTGTATCGAGGCCGTATCGTTGAGTATCGGTGCGTTTCAACACTATATCGGCCAATACGCTATCGATACGGTAGCTTATCGACCGATACAGTACGATTTTACTATGGCAAAAATAGCAAATAAAACTCCCTTTGAAAGAGAGCTTCTAAACCCATTTCAGAAGCCCTCTTTCTTTCCCAAAACCTTCAAAAAGCTTTTTAACATTTTTAAAGACTCAAATCTTGTAAAAATTTGTCAAAACATCTATAAATTTGCAAGATTCAATAAGTTTTTAAAGGTTGTGAAAAAAGGAGTGAAACTAAATATGTTTTTTCAAATTTCTTTTACATTTTTAGCCAATGTTAGAAAAGATAAGGGGAAAGAATGTGGTTTGCCCCCTACCGCTTCGACTGTTAGAAAATGTTAGAAAATGAAATCCCCCCTTCCTCCTTCCTCCTCTTAAGTAAGCTTGTGCCTCTTGCATTTTGAACTATGCTTTATGCCTCTAGGTAGTGGAATGCCTATGTGTTTTAAAACATTGATATTTTTTGTTAGAATAAAATATGTAAAATAATTATTTCATCTATTATGTCCATAAACCCATTCAATTTTTTGTTACATATTTACTTTTCTTAATTTTAATTTAATTTTTAAAATAAAACATGCAAAATAATTATTTGAATAAAAATAAATAATTATTTTGTTTTTAGAAAATTAGAATAAAACATGCAAAATAATTACTTGATCTATTATGTCCATAATTAGATAGTATGTTTCTATTCCCAACTTCCTATTTATTGATTATAATATGTTTTTTCATAAAACCCACTAAAATGTGTTATTTTTATGCATAAATAACTCGTTTATGTCTTATATTTAGTGATATTGATGTTCATTTATGATTTATTAGAGTATTTATAACATTTTCATGTGTTTCCATGTGTATCTTAATTTTTCGTCCGTATCCATGCATATCCAAGACGTCTCTTAAATTTGCCTTTCCAATATGTATAGCATTTCCGATACTTTGAACATTGGCCTAAAATGCTTCTAAAGTTATCATGTGGGCAGTACTTATCTAGACCACAAGGGATCTCCTGCCCACAAAACACGCTTCAACACCCTACCAACATCATCTGACACTACATCTCACCATGAGAATGAACTCCACCAAAAAAGTGATGCCTGCGAAGATGTGAAGTGTCAGATCATGTTAGTAGGGTGTTGGAATGTATTTTATTGGCAGGAGATCCTGACTCGGTTCCTTCACAATTGACAGGTCGGCTTAAGATCATTCTCCATCCTTAGTCAGCCTAGTAGGCCAGTTGTATCAGCCGTATCAGTGTGCCATGGCAATATGGGGGAATAGGACTGTAGGACGCCTTAACTGGTTTAGGGCTCCATAAGCCATAACTCGCTATTACTACTTGCCCCATGTTTCAAGGCTCAGGACCTACCTAATATCCCACAAGAATTGGCCATACTAATTATGTTGTTCATGCTGACATTTTTGGCTTTACTAATAGAACCAAACCATGGTAGGTCCCAAATCTCAAACCATTGGTACCAGTGATGCATTTAATCAGGGGGCCATTTAATAACGACTGAATTGATGAACTGAATGACTTGTGGTGAGAATAAGCCATTAAGAAGACTTGTTGAGTTGATTATCAATTTATCATATTATCTATGCCCTTTTTAACGATTCAAGGACGTACCATTCAGTTCAGCCACTTCAGCTGTCCAGGATGCCTTCTTAACTGATATTCTCAGGCTCAGGCAGCTGCCCCTTAAATTCATGACCTGTGTCATCCTAGCAAAGGCACTGACTGGGACAGGATTCCAAGATCGGAATGAAATCAGAATTCAAAGAAATGAATGTCGGCATTCCCATTCTTTCTTTGACAAGAAAAAGTAGAATTTAGAACACTCAGAAATGGGAAATAAAATAATTTCATTTCACATTCACATGGTAGCAAGAACAAAGAGAATCTAAAGAAAAAATGGGACAAAAATCCTTGATCACAAATGGAAGATATATTGTATTTATTGGTCTTAATTAATCAAAACACCTAAAAAGTAAAGCCGACCTCCGCTTCAACCAGATCAAGGCAATATTAATGCACAACTTCTAATAAGAATAATAATGGAAGAAGGAAAAAAATTGGATTTCAAACCCCTTCAAGATCACTGTCCCAACATTGAATCGAGAGAAAGAAACAAGAAATGGAATAAAAAGAAGAGAAAAACAAAGAAGGCATTTCCAGGCATGCACGTTGGGAAGCATCTCCCCCTCGCTCGTGCATGATCAGAAGCATTTCCTGTGCACAATCGATGGCCCAGACTCGTCATACTCCGCCTTTGCAATCCACATCTGCAGCAAGCAACAAACACATAATCAAATCATCAGTTAACTACCCAATCTGACTGCTAAAGTGCCCCAGCTAAGAGAAGCCAAATACCTGTTGGAAAGTGCTAAGAGAAGCCAAGATGGATCCCCCAATCCACACACTGTACTTCCTCTCAGGAGGAGCCACCACCTTGATCTTCATGCTGCTGGGTGCTAGTGCTGTTATTTCCTTGCTCATCCTGTCAGCAATGCCTGGGAACATGGTTGAGCCACCACTGAGGACGATGTTGCCATACAAATCCTTCCTGATGTCCACATCGCACTTCATGATGGAGTTGTATGTAGTCTCGTGAATGCCAGCAGCTTCCATTCCTATCATGGATGGCTGGAACAGAACTTCTGGGCATCGGAATCGTTCAGCGCCGATGGTGATCACTTGCCCATCAGGCAGTTCATAGCTCTTCTCCACAGATGAGCTGGTCTTGGCTGTCTCTAGTTCCTGCTCATAATCAAGAGCAATGTAAGCAAGCTTCTCCTTCATGTCCCTCACAATTTCCCGCTCAGCAGTGGTGGTGAAAGAGTAGCCACGCTCGGTCAGGATCTTCATCAGGGCATCTGTGAGATCACGCCCTGCAAGGTCAAGACGCAGGATGGCATGTGGGAGAGCATACCCTTCGTATATGGGAACAGTGTGACTGACACCATCCCCAGAGTCCAGGACAATACCTACAAAAGTGAACAACCATTCACATGTTTGTCACCATATCAGATATCACAGGAGAAAATGATAGGATGGAAAAACCAAACAAAAGGTTTAGATTTCAAATTGTTACAGAGTTATAGTCACTCTGAGAATCCACATCCTATTCTCTGTAACATCATTGATTCATTGATCACCAAAATTCAATTCCAGTAGCCCAGAAAATGAAACCCAATGGAGCTGCTTACCAGTTGTACGACCACTGGCATAAAGGGAAAGAACGGCCTGAATAGCAACATACATTGCAGGAGTGTTGAAGGTCTCAAACATGATTTGGGTCATCTTCTCACGGTTAGCCTTGGGGTTGAGGGGTGCTTCAGTGAGGAGAACTGGGTGCTCTTCAGGGGCCACACGGAGCTCATTGTAGAAGGTGTGATGCCAGATCTTCTCCATGTCATCCCAATTGTTCACAATGCCGTGCTCAATCGGGTATTTCAAAGTTAAAATACCACGCTTGGACTGAGCCTCATCCCCAACATAGGCATCCTTCTGGCCCATACCAACCATCACACCAGTGTGGCGAGGGCGTCCTACAATGCTAGGGAACACGGCCCTTGGGGCATCATCTCCAGCAAACCCAGCCTGAAGATCAACAGAATCAATTAGAACAACCAAGGTTTTGGCTCCAAAATCCAGAAAAGAAAAAATAAAAACCAAAGTGGAAATTTTAAATCTGGATACTTGAATTTACAAGAAATCTTGATTCAGTACCTTGACCATTCCTGTTCCATTGTCGCAAACAAGGGGCTGAATATCCTCGTTGTCTGCCATCTTCTATTACCTGCTGATCGGTCAGTGAAAGACAGTCAAATTCAAACCAAAATAATTAAAGACAAAGACAACGGGTTTTGGCTGTCACGGCCATACAACATATTTGATTGAATTACCAGGCCTTTCTAAAATCTTATAGAAGATCAAGGGGGGAATAAAAGTAATCGAAGTTCAGTCATTTCAAAAAGAAAAAAAAAAACCGGGGGTAATAAAAGTAAACGAGAAAGGGGGTAAAATAACTAATTTTAGCTGGGATTTAATAAGTAATTAGAAGAATGGAAAATCTTGAAACCACTTTCAGAAAACAAGCCGACTGGAAATGAAAACGCACAAACAGATCAGCCAATGCAGACCCAAAACGACAACCAATGTAAACCTTCTTGATTGTTACATTGTGTGAGCCAATGCAGCTAAAAACAGAAGATCAAAAACAGGAGCCGATCATCGATAAAGCATACTAAAAGCCCTACATTCCTGCATTCATATCCCATTGAAAGAAAAAAAATAAGATACAAATTCAGGCACATCTGAGCAGATGATGAATTTTAAAACCATTTTAACCTCCCCACATGGATGACTCCACTCCGATGACGACAAGGACAACACACAGTCCAGAGATCAACAATGGCAATCGATCAGGAAGCCCGGCTAACGATCGATCCCGATCGAATACTAAAAAAACGGTAAAACCCCTCCAGATTAAATTAATTACCTTTGTGAAAGACTGGATTTCCTGTTGGTGAGAGACTCTAATGAAGCCTTCTGCTTCTTCTTCTCTTTTTCTCTCTCTCTCTCTATATGTCTCTCGCGCAGGCGCAAGTCACAACGACGTCTCTGATCTCAGCTACACGCCCTCGTATTTAAAATGGAAAGAGGGCCAGTTAGAAAAGAGATGGACGGTCAGGATGAGGCGGGAGCATAGCGGTGGAAACAGCTGGTTGGAGAGATGAGACAGGCTATTTTTCTAAATAGAGGAAGCCTCTTTTTCGCTTTTTCGTGGGTTGAGCTCATTATTTCGGGTCGCCCCTCTCCCTCTCCCTCGTCAAAAGCAGGCAGGCTGCCAACTCAGCAATCCGTTTCCAACAGCCTGGAGATCATGCCGCTGACACGTGCGCCCATGATTGTCCAGCCATCCACCCAAGGAATCGGTCACACACCTCACTCGATTGGGGACAAGGGTTTTCAGTCGGGTCGGGTTTTAGTGAATCCTCCTGCCGACCCTATTCAATCATTGTATGGGTGTATCGGGTTAGGATATTTCAATCGCAGTATAAGGTCCATTAGGGATGACAACATGGCAGGTTTAGGGAGGGTTTTGTAAATTCTATATCCTATCCACCTACATAAACCTCCCAATCCATACCCACCCCAAAATAAGAGTGTCAATGGACCAACTGGACCCCATCCAATTCAAAATCAATTTGGATGGATTGGACGGACCAAAAAGATATAGTGGACTGGACCAATCCGATCCAAAATATTTATTAGATGGGACTAGACTCAGTCCGTCCATAATAAATTTATACTAGATTTGGTTGGATTAAGTCAATATCCGATCCATTGATATAAGATAAGAATATAGGTGTCAATGGACCGGGTTTGGGTTGAAACCAATCTAAATTAAAATGAATTTGAACAAATTGGATGGTCCGGACATTAAATTGGATCGGTCCAAAATGGTCCAAATTATTCATTGGAATAGGTTGGACCTAGTCCATTTGTAATGGATTCACATTGGACTGGATCGGATTGGACCAAATCTAGTCCAATCGACACCCTTACCCCAAAACCCCTAGCAGGTTGGATTTTGAGAATCCTCCTCCTCCTCAATAGGTAGGACGGGTTGGATTTAGAACCCATATATCTAATTTCCTATTAGAACATGTAAAAAACACATAAACTATCAACTATCCTTCACATAAAATTCAAAATATTATTAAATTCAACACCTAATACATAAAGTTTGCATGCTTTCCAACAATGTGGGTGGTGGAGGGTTGGGTTTAGCCTAATACAGTACTCATACATGTTGTACAATCCCAAAACTAAGGGTGTCGATGGACCAATTTTGGATTGGACCCCATCCAGTCCAAAATCAATTTGGATGGATTGGATGGACTAACAAGACATATTGGATTGGATCAATCCAATCCAAAATATTTATTAAATTGGATTGGACCTGGTTCGTCTGTAATAATTTTATATTGGATTGGGTTGGGTTAAGCCAATATTTGGTCAATTGATATAAGATAAGAATATAGGTGTCAATGGACCGGGTTTGGGTTGAAATCAATCTAAATCAAAATGAATTTGAACAAATTGGACACTCCAAGCATTGAATTGGACTGGTCCAAAATATTCATTGAATTGGACTTGGTCCATTTATAATAGACTCACATTAGACTGGATCGGATTGGACCAAATATAGTCCAATTTACACCCCTACCCAAAACCTATCCTTCAAGCAACCCACCCCGTTGGGGCGAGTACCTTCCAGGTAAGGTGGACAGTGCCATCCCTAGCCTCAATGTTTTAAAAACAAGATAGATGTTGAACCATTTTTGCCTTAGGGGTGCAAGTCACTGGTTCAATCCTCTGGGTTGAATGGGTCAGGTTGTGCCATATAAACACATGTGTGTGCATGGCAAGGCGTCTTTCTACTCCTTGAAATGCATATATTTCAAAAAATTACTCAAAAAAAAATCATCTCAATCAGACATCCAACCATAAAGTTATAACCTTAAGATCCTGACCGAAATGATGATTCCAATGACTCAATCGACAACTGAAAATGGTGGCCTGCCTAGTGCCTAACCCCTTAAATGGGTCAAAAACCCCAATAAACTCATATTTAACGCATCAATGATTTATTGATGCAATACGATCAGCCAATAGGACTGATATATTGCGCAATTTTAATAACCAAAATTAGCTTATTACTTTCTATGAAATTTACCCATTTAGATATAAGATATAATAAAAATTATATAAAAAAAAGCAAACCCTTTTTTATGTGTTATTAATTATATAATCGGTTTGGGTCTTAATTGGTTCAAAATAGCAAGAACTAGGGGTGTAAGTGACCTGAGCCAACTCGCGAGCTACTCGGGCTGAGCTCGCTAAATGCTTATACTTGGCTCGAAGATTATTGAGTCAAGTCAAACTAGACTCAAGTCGAGTAGTTAGTCAGTTTGAGCTTCGTAATACATGGCTCAAATAGCTCATGAGCCTAATCAAGCTTCTAATAAATTATTATTTTTAATTTATAATATAAACAAATAAATTTATAATCAAGTTTCATAATATATTTGTATTTATATTTTTAATATATAATTGTGTTTTTTAATATATTTAATTTTATAATATATTAAATATTAATTTATTTATAAATTTTAATAAAAAAATTATTTATTATTGGCCTTAGCCTAATCGAGCTCAAGTAGCTTACAGATATTGACTCAAATCGAGTTCAAATATGAAACTCAAAACTCGCTCGAGTTTCAAGCTTTGAATTTCTAAGTCAAACTTGAGCTCAAACCACCCAAAACTCAATTCGATTCATCACGATGACACACTTAGCAATAGACCTATTCATGGGCCAGATTGCCTAACGGCCTGACCCATTATTTTTCAAGCTTGGACAAAACTTCAGACCCGCGGGCTCGGGCTCATGCTTTAAAGACTTGGCCCAATCAATTTTTGGACCAGGCTCGGGCTTTCCCAAATAAGCCCAACCCAGGCCTGAGCCCGATACTATTAATATAATATTAGTTTATAAACGTATAGTGAAAATAAGACATTTTGTGTAAAAGTTGGATTTCGAGCTCGATCTTAAATTTTGGGCTTTATATAAGGGTCGGGCTTGGGCTCAAGATCTAGGTCCAATGGTCAGGCTTGGCTCAGACTCAGGCTCAAGTTCGGGCCTGCATATTCCCTATTGATAAAAAGGCAAAGTCCAACTCGACCATGAATTAGTCTACTTAGCAATAACCAATATTGAGCCAATTATTAATCGGGACAAAACCACAAACCAAGACTGAAATAATTAGCTCTTATAGATAGACCTGATTCATTGACGACACTAACCCCTTTTTATTTAATTGGATCGGATTGGGTTGAGGCAAACCTGTATCATACCCGACCCATTGCCATCCCTGCACTCAACTTTATATCGTTTATAAGTTATAAGCCATTGGACCAGTTTATAGCACTAACAACACCATCATTATCACTGCAAATTGCCCTAAGCCTAAGCCCACTAATAGATATCATAGAAGCAAAGATTATTGAATATTTAACCGTTGATTTGTAAGATTCTATTTTTAAGGAACAAAAAATAGTTATATAATAAAATATTTAAGGATTAATTAATTAACCCAATTCACAAAAAGACAAAAAACAATAATCCATTTAATTCAGCCACTTTAATCCGTTATGATTATTTAGGCTTTAATAGACATCAATTTATGGCTARCTAAGTGGGCCCGCCTATATAAAACCTGGATCCTAGCTCCTCTGTGGTCAGTTTTCATGGGTTGGCCCTGAGTTAACATTTTAGACTGTTTGGGATTTCGGGTCAGCTCCATTTAAAATTTTAACAGAACCGCAATCCTATTCCATCCAAGTTGCACCTCTAATCCCAAATATTCAAAACCCTCAAAACCTTTCCATTATGTGGTCTCTGTGACTTATGGACATTGATAAAATTAGGGTTGTCAATAGGTTTAGCTATCTGACGGAACCGAACTGACCGAATATATTATAACGATTTTATTTCTATAATTTTGTCTCAATTAATAATTAGATCTCTATTTCTATTTTAGTTCTTGTTGCCTTTCTGAAATCGATTCAGGCTTGAAACAAATTATTTTATTAAATATAAGTATTTTCTTAGTTTTCTGATAATTTTTATCATATTTTATATTTGAAATGGTAATTTTGATGGATAATATTATTTAAAAATGTTTAATTTATTAATATGTAAATAAATTAGTATTTTCTATCATTTTATTAAGGCTATATTATCAAAATTTAAAATTTAAATAAATAAATATAATTTTCAATATAATTGGATTTCCTGTTCAGAACTGGGACCACCTGTCACAAGACTCACAACTCAGACCCGACCCCTTGACAGCCCCCCATGTCAGGAATATCCTATGATATTTTAATTCTTCTCAATCTCTTGGCTAAAAGCTCAAGCAAAACTACTTGAGTGCAGTGGTTGAGATTCAGTAATGAAAGATTTGTACTCGTATTTTGGGTGGTTGGATCATGAAAGCGGATGCAGAGCCTCGTGGCTGGCATTGGGCATTGAGGCCTACAACTTTTATCGTATCAAAAGAGGTGTCGACCTTTATTTGTTTTACAACCGAGGCCCGGAGGGTCTACAATGAGTAGAGGTGCAAACAACCAAAGCCCGCATCGATCCAGTTTGCAATTTTTCACGGGTTGGGCTTGGATTTTAGGTCTCAAATTGGGTTTGGATTCAAAAGTTTAGGCTTTTTTTACTTTTTGGGTTGAAATTGGGCCTAGTTCTTAGATAGCTCGAGCCTACCCTATCCTAACTTGAGACCAAGCCACCTATGTATGTATTATTTTTCTGATAAACCATACATACATTTAAATTAAATTTTATTGTGGGTTGATTGACCAACCAGAGCCTCGCCTGGGCTTGAATCCAATCCGAGTGCATAAAATTTTAGTTTGGACTTGACTTAAGCTTAGGCCTTGGGCCCAATTATTCCTTGGGTTGGGCCTTGGTTAAGCTTAAACCTAGCCAAGCCAGCCCAACTTGCACCCCTAACAATGAGTAGGAATACAATTTGGGTGAGATGGGTCACCCAATGCA